GGGTAATGATATCTTTGTTTGATCCACATTCATGTGACCACAATTATGGATCCCTACTCTTCCACTCCACACCTTGGAATGCACCATTATTATATGGATACTTGCGTCTTTAGGTCTTTTGACCCGAAATGGCTGGGAGAGGAAAGGTTCCTGAAGCGAGTCAGTCGTCATTCGTAAATCAGCCCTTTAGGATCATTTGGTAAACTTTGAAAGTTTGTTCATTTTGGGATATAGTCAGATCCATGCATTGGCTGGATAGCATCGTTTAGTAAGAGTAGTCATTGCCACAGGGGTGGAAAAGAAGAGCTGAATTATGATTCACGTAGACATTCCAAAACTACTGACCTAGCTGAATTAAAAACCGAAAGTCCAACAGGTAGTTAATTAAACGGTAAAACTGCATGTGCTCAAAACGTGACTTAATTGTATTGTACTGTACTTTCTTTTAATGTGCGTGTGATATTTCTGTTTTTGTGCTGAAGTGTTTACATGCTAAACTTGGCATTCCCTATGAGATATGTTATCAAATGAAACAAGTATTACAAGTGATCCAGCTACATTTGCTCCCCTGTTAAACATTTCAAATACCATGAAGATAAAAACTGAGGACTAAGGAGAATAAAAAGGGAGTGTGTACCAAGAACTCAAGAATCTCTCTTTGCCTTCTTTTTTTGGTAATAATTAATTCCATTCCAATGGTTCCCTATGAGTCACATATTTAGAATAGCTTAACCACTCACGCAACAATGTGTGTGGTTAGGACGATTTGCACCCTTTATGAGCTGAGTACAAGAAATTCATGTCCTGATGTTGTGGAGCAAGTGTGGAATTCTGATGCCATGACTAGGACAGTTTTGGAGTCATTTCTTTACCTTGACTAGCAAGTTTTTGATCAGTCCCTTGTTAAAGCTGCTCTTTGAAGAACTTGATTGTCTGAGCTTCTTGTACTTTCGCGGATCATTGTCTTAAAACTATTTGAGTCAAATATTGATAAGATTCTTTCTCTGCACAACCTCCTAAGCAAGCTGTTTTGTCATGGATATTGAACCAGGTTATTTTCTTTTGAAACTCCTAAGTTTGTGAGACTAACCTATTTACTGGACTGCTAAATGTTTATGTAGGTGGGGACGATTGCTCTTCTTGCTTTGACAGGATTGCTAGTCTTTATGCTGTTCTTTGTCGCGGCAACTGTCAATGCCATTGTGATCTCTCTTCTCATGTCATTAGCGGCTGCAGGAGGATTCTTGGCTCTTTTCTTTGCCTGCCTAACTGCTATTTATATTGGGGCTCTGTCAGTTACTGTATTTGTCATTTCCACTACGACAATTATATCAATTATTGCTGTGATTGTGGCTACAGGTAGGCAAAAAGGACCTTTTTCTCTCTGTTCCGGCTCCAGTTTGAGCACCTTCCTTCTGTTTTTCACATGTTTCAGCTTTAATTTCTTGTTATTTTCACCCATATTTTAATATTTAACTTGTCATTTACCAACCTGACTGTGGCTTTGTCCTATTTTCACTCCCGCAAATGAATGATTAGCTGAGATAACATGGGCGGGAATAACTATCGATATTACAGTTCAATTTAAACAAGATTTCACTCTACAAAACTTCTTGAGTTTTGAAACCGATACTATTTATCTTTGACGATGTGTTTAATCTGAGTAGTAGCTGATGCACAAAGTTGTTTTTGCAATTTCATCAGTATCAGTATGTTTCCTGTAGTTTGACAATTGATTGCTTGTATTGCGTATGGCTGTTGATTGGCGATAAGATTGTGACAATTCTGCATTATGGATTCACTCATTGCTTTTATCTCATACTTTTCTGACCCGTCATTGACACCCCAAATCGTAATCATAAACAGATAGGAAGAAATCACTTAGCATTTTTTTTGGCTTTGATGGGATCTAAAACCCTGGTCTCAGTCTTCGCCTACTTTACTAACTGTTAAGACACATCCTTGGGTGCTTTGTTGGCAAACTAGCAGAAACTTGATATTTTTTTCAGTTGTTTTTATTAGGATGTACCTGTCCCTGCATTCGGGGATCATTTGATTTTCACATTTCCTAATTTAACGCCACTGCCCTCTGGTTGATGCACCCAATGAAATGTATTTTGTCTAGTGAAGCTGGAGAAAAGTAGAATGCTAAGCGTGCTTCCTCTCATGTCGTTACATCTGAGTGTCTTATCTGGTGTTTTACTTGTGCCTCAGGTTGGATTGGATTCTTTTGGGCAATATGGCTGGCAACAAAGAAAAGTGCAAGTCTTGCCAAGCACTCGTTGAATGTGACAGGATCAGCACTATCGGCTTATTCTTCCGCCAGACATTTCCAGCACAACCACGACGCCTGAATCACGTTCACTGAAACCAGAATGAAGGCCACTTTCTATGAATAAGTCTTGAATGCTGCTACCAACTACCATGTATATACTTAGGTTCTAGTACCTTCTGGCCTTCGTGATGATATATACGTCGTCGATATTTTGGCTCTTCATGCATCACGGTCGATGTATATCGTAATATAATATAGATGAATGCATGTGCAGACTAGTGAGCTTGGTCTAATGAGGGCTTGTCATGGTTTGGATCTGGTTTGTAAATTATTATTGACAAATAGATCTTGCCACTTATCAAGTATTAGTATATGTTTATGAAATCTTGAATATGTTGAAAATGAATGTAGTTTTGAGATAGTTGAGACTTGCAATTTGAATGTGTTTGTAAGAGGGCCTAGTTATAAGAATTATTATCCTATTAGTGTATTTTAACGTATTATAGTAGGTAATTTGTCTTATTTTTTAATTTACTAGTCTCGTTTTTTGTGGATGGTTACCTGAAGGTAGTTTTTAGGTGATCTAATAGTGTAAAATTTTTTTACGTTGTTCGGGCGTGGAACAAGGGCGGAGCTACAGTGTCGAAAGTGGGTTTTCCCGAACTCAGTCGCTTTAGTTCAAATTTTGTATTTGTCTTATTTTTTTTATTAAATATGTATAATTATTAATTTGGAACCCAATAACTTTAAATGATTAGAATCCTGAATCTATAAATTTGAAATCCTGGCTCCGCCTGTGGCGTGAAAGTTAAACTCTTCCAATCAAGTCATGTTTTGAGTACTTTAGGTGTAAGCAGACGCAATTCTAGCATGTAGGCGAGAACAAAATGTTTTTAAATTACTCTTCTTGGTCCATATTGATTGTCGTGTTTTTCTTCTACACGTTCTTTATGAAACTATTAATAAGAGGGGTTTTTTGACTCTTATAACCTTATTTAATAAGAGGGTCATTTTAGGTATTGTTTGCTTGTAGTCAATGTTTTTACTTTCAAGAATATTTAATACTAAGGGCAATATGAAAGAAAGTATGTAGTAATACCATAATTTTCTAAAATGATAATAATTATTTTGGACCAGATATATTTAGTAAGCACAACAACTAATACGGACCAAAGGGAGTACATAATTACTTAACTTGGTACCTCTAATGACGGAAAATAACAAAGCATCGGTGAAATAATCGAGGTACGTGTTGTTTGATCAAAAAGTGTAAAACTCTTTTGTCGAACTAATTATTAATAATACAGAAGGTAAATCTTAGTCAAACATAATTAATTCCTTATCCAAACATACAGAGTGTGAAATAGAAGAAGAATAAGAATACATAATATTTCTTAATGTAATAATCGTACATCAAACATGAGAGATGAGCTTACATCTAGGACAAATATGCGTCATAATCACGGGAGCAAAGAAGGGGAAGAGAGGAAACTGTTGATGATGAAGAGATTCCTCTTATTGACTCTTATCGTCGTAGCTATCTATAAATCCCCCTGCTTTATCTGGGTTTTGCCCCTATATATATAGTTCCTTTCCCTTTTATCCAATGGTCTTTGACCGGCGTACTTTCTTACGATTGTATTTTTCGTTGTTTGCTCGAACACAACGTTTGTTCTGTGATGTAAGTTTTCCGACGATTTGACCCCGGCGATGGCCGAGGTGGTCTTTACTATCTCGCCCCGTGGGCATGATTACGGCTTGGTCGACCCCTTATCATTCCTCTTAAGGACAACCATTCTAATCAAATTTTGACCCATACAGTTAGTCCCTCCGCCCTTCGAGGTCGCCTCTTAGCGGGCTCAACGGACAGACTTTGTCGATTCAAAAGTTAGGAGAAATATGAATGTTATGCATTGAGGGAGATCCTTAGGTCGAGGTGGCGACGTGACGCTTCAATGGTACCATCAGACCGTTACGTCAGTTCGGAGTTGAGTCGTTACATTGATTCGATGCATCATGAATAACCACTATCATTATGGCGTACGTTTCCCAAGCACTGTATCATTTCTTGTGTCCTATTAGTTTTGATTAGCAGCTCTTGGGTTTCCCGCTCAAGACATTTAATTTCCTATAAATAGAGGGAAACCACCATTCAATTGCTACACTTTTCGATTTATCTGAAGAATTTTGCAAACCTCCACCTTATTCAATATTTCATACTTCTGATTTCATACTCCCGTTCATCAGAACTTGACGCGACCATCTTCTCTTTTCCTTCATTATACTCATTTATTCCGATCAATTCAGAAAAATGGTTGGTACTTCTTCCTAGACTGACAGGTTTGTCGAAGCTCCGGTGCCGGAAAATGACGCACCTGTTCTTGGAGAAGGAGCGTAGGCGGCGGAAGATGAGGGAGTTCCAACATCGGCTGAGATACTGCCCCGTCCGGGGAAATTATGGACCAATTTCAACAGCCCTGCCGGAGAAGAATCGGATCCTACATCCTCTACCATGGATGAAGCGGCGATTGCGACGCTCAAGACCAAGTGGGGAATTCCGAACCACATTGAAATGGTGCCGACGACGGGGATGAACATTATACATTTGCACCACCCAGGGTACTGCGCATTCTACGCATACCCTTTTGTTATCGGGTATACGCTTCCTCTCCCCTCCCTAGTGTTTGACCTCTGCCGCTTCTACGAAGTGTGCCCGGCTCATCTTTCACCGTACGTGCACAAACTCTTCCTCATGCTACTCAAGTATGCGGAGCTCGCCGGTCGAGAGGTCACTTTGGGGCATATGCTTAATATTTTTGCCCCTTAACTTATTCGAGGCACGATGATCCACATGCGCCATCAAGGAACAAAGAGTTTGGTGGTGAAGATGGACGACAAGGCTAATCGTCGTTTCTGGGAAAGTTATTTTTACGTGCGGACCGAGCACCTTGTGGCGGACTCTGCAAGGTTTCCTGAGTCGTGGAACTTCGCCCGTAAGTTTTCCTTTGCTTATTTTGTGACTCCTCTCGAGGTGGTGGCCGACCGTTCTTCTTTAGGTGCCATTGCTAATTTGTTTTTGCTTTCACAGCCGAGAAACTGCCTCCCCCACCAGTTGACAACATCCGTGAGTGGGTAAATTCCATTCTTCCCCATACAGTGAGGGTCTGTGAGTGGGCGTCCTTCTACGAGAGATACGGGCGTAAGCCTCTCACTGGCGAGTCGACCCATTGCAGTTTCTTTGTTCTTTGCGGTGTAGTTTTATCTTGTCGTTATATGATCGTTTTTCTTTGTTGACAGGGAGGGTGCGAAGGGCGAGGGCTCCTCCGCTCGCGTTTCGTCAACCGACGCCTCCTACCCAGCCCGTACCGAGGTCTACTGCCCGGCCTACATCGAGAGCTACTCAATCTGCACCTGCGGCCGGGGCCGTGTGCATGGAAATTACTCCTCAACTTGAGACTCCGGCTTCTGCCGTCCGCTCAATGGGCGAATCTTCCCGTGTTGGTAGCAGAGAGGGCCATCGAAGAGACAACGAGTGGAGTCTGAAGTGGCTCCTTCAATCGAAGCATCTTCGGGGGTCGACCCTCCCTTGGCGGTGTCTGAAATTAGCAGTGGTGCTAACCCGATCATAGAGGCAAACCCGGTGGCAGAGGTGAACCCGGTGGAAGAGGCTTCGACCATTGTGAACTATCAACAAGCTATTACGATAGACAGACGGGGTCCCAAGGATGCTGTTGCCGTTTTGGGTGGCCCTTCGTCATATGGACCGAATCACACTTCTTCTTCGGCTGCATAGAGGGGAAAGGGTATCGTGGTTGATGACTACGAGTCTGACTCCAACCTCGATCCTAATGATGTTAGGATGTTCGAGGAGGGCTTTACCCGCACTGTGGTAAGAGCGGGAGGTCCTTCCTGAATACTTGAGATTCCATCGGATCTCAATCTTCTACGAGAGACGGAGGATTTGGTGTCGCAGTTCGACCTTCTATGCTCTGCCGCAAAGTGTGAGGCTCTTCGGGACGTTAGCGACGTCGAATTATCGAATGAAGTGGCCGCGATGGGCCTGAGGATAAGTTTTTTCTCTTTGCCCCCCCCTTTTGGGCGGCCTTAGCCTTCACCGACTTTATTCTTTTTTTTCAGTCTTACATGCTGGAGATCGAGAGTGCCCGCAGGGCCGAGACTCGGGCCAAAATATTTCTGATGATGTTGGAAAAGTATCGGTGCTACGCGACAAATGCCATGAGATGCATGAGCGGCTCAGGGCGAGCACTGGCAATCAATCTCTCGGGGAAGAGCTGGAGAAAAGGGATCAGGAGTTGATGCAGTCTATCCGCAGGAGCAGTGAGCTCGAGGAGCTACTTCGTGCAAAGGACGAAGAACTTGAGTTGGGAAAGGGGGTTTCTATAGAGTGTGAGCATCTTTAGGCGAAGGTGCTGTCGTTGCAATCCGAACTTGATCAAAATGCCGCCAGAGTTGAAGCTTTGAGTGTATACTGGATAGGGAATTTAGCCGAGCTTGAGAGAAAAGTGTCCGAGTTGGAGAATACCGAGAATGCTCGGGCGTCGGCTTCAACAAGGCAGGCGGCGTTGGAGGACACTATCCGTGTCCTTCAATCAGAGCAGAAATCCGAGAAGGCAACGACCATGCTAAGGGAGGCTAGGCTCGAAGAGCGCATAGGCGAAATTGACCAAGAAGCTTCAAACTTGGGAGATTGGGTCGCTATACTCGAGGTTGAAAAGGCGCAATTGTTGGCCCAAGTTGAATCTGCCTCTGCCGCTATTCGTCGACACTTGCATGAACTTTGGGTTCATGCCGAGGCCCAACGAGGCATATATAAGAGTTTGTAGGAGGCGGGCAATGTTTCTGAGGCTGCTTATGAAGGAGCCCGGGCGAAGGCACGAGAGGCTCGTGTCAAATTCGGCTACGACATTGCGACACCAGAGGCCGACGAGGATGCTGATGCTGAGGAGGAGTTTCTTGAAGACAATGATGCGGGGAACGACGGTGATGATGCCGAGTGAAAAGTTGTTGTTGCTTTAGTATATATATATATTTTTTTGCTCATTTTCGTCTTTTTTTTTGTTTATTGGGCTTGTTTTGGCCTTGTGTAAGGTGCGGTTGTTGCGCACGTATATATAAATAAAAGAGTTGTTTCGTCGTTATATATCCTTTGATTTTTCTCTCCCTTCCCCTTGCTTGTTACATCTTTTTGTTTTGGCGTAAACCTTCGGATTTTTGTATGGCGAGTCCCTGATTTTTTGATTTGGGAATCCGACCTTTACCGGACCGAGTAGGGTCTCATCGTGTGAGTTCAAATGGAGTTGCTTTGGATGTGCACATTCGGGCGAGATTGACTTTTGACTTGTCTCTTTAGGTGGAATCATCTTTGATTCAAACGAGGTTGAATTTTGATTCTCCATTTCGGACGAAGTCGGTTTCGGCTTGAACGTTTGAGTCGGATTGAGTTCAGACTTGCGGATTTAGGCGAAGTCGACTTTTGGATATGTATTCGAGTGGGGTCAAACTTAGAATCTAGAGCGAAGTCAATTTGTGACTTATTTTAACAAGTTCGAAAAATATTTTTTTATTTGACGATGGCTGGTGGATGTAGGAGTGTTATTTCGAACTAGGGTCAAAATGTTAACCTGTTGTAATTCGAGCGAGGTCGAATTTTTATTTTGGGGATGGCCTTTGGCCGCAAGGGTGCTATTTCGAACTAGGGTCGAAATGTTAACCCGTTGTAATTCAGGCGAGGTCGAATTATTTCTTTTGGCGATGGCCTTTGGCCGCAGGGGTGTTATTTCGAACTAGGATCTAAATGTTAACACGTTGTAATTCGAGCGAGGTCAAATTTTTTTCTTTTGGCAATGGTCTTTGTCCGCATGGGTGTTACTTCGAACTGGGGACGAAATGTTAACCCATTGTAATTCGAGCGAGGTCGAATTTTTCTTTTGGCGATGGCCTTTGGCCGCAGAGGTGTTATTTCGAACTAGGGTCGAAATGTTAACCTGTTGTAATTCGAGCAAGGTTGAATTTTTCTTTTGGCGATGGCCTTTGGCCGCAGGGCTGTTATTTCGAACTAGGGTCGAAATGTTAACCCGTTGTAATTCAAGCGAGAAAGATTTTTTCTTTTGGCGATGGCTTTTGGCCGCAGGGGTTTTATTTTGAACTAGGGTCTAAATGTTAACCCATTGTTCCATTGTCAAATCTTGGAGAATTTCACAGGTTACCGTACTGTTTGTGCATACGTCGGGGTGAATCCTGGCGTACTCAGTTTTGTTTTTACTGGAGAATATTGGGTGTTCCCTGGGGGAGTCCTAGTTTTGCTTAACTTCTGCGTTTCCTAGGTGAGTCCCAGTTTGCTTAATTTTGCTCGCATTTGGAGTATACGATGTGTTTCTTGGGTGAGTCCCGATTTGCTTAGTTTTGCTTGCATTGGAGAATACGATACGTTTCCTATGTAAGTCCCAATTTGCTTTACTTTGCTTGTGTTGGGGGAATACCTTGATGGGGAGTACAAAATGTTGCTCTGTTTCATTCACTGGAGAATGCTATACATATTCGTTTCATACATATATTGGAGAAGTTTCCATGTATCTGGTCCCTTCATCGCTCGATCTGGGGGAAGTAATTGACAGGCGAGGTGATGAATCATACTTGAACTTTGGGACGTCCCTTTCGTCGCCCGGTTAGAAATCTCCCTGGGAGCACCCAACTAGGGCAATACCCGAGTGAGAGAAAAAGGGTACGACTTGGCGTATGTCCTTTTTCGGGGTTGAAATATTTGGGGTGGGCGACATTCCAATTGTTTTGTAGTAGTTTTCCTTCCATTGTTTCTAGTTGGAATGCTCCTTTGCTCGCTTTCCTGTGCGAGTGCTCGCATTCATGTTTAAACCAATAAAAGAGGATAAACCGAAATAAAATTTTCCGTACCTCGACCCAACGAGTCAGTGAAAAGAGAGATGTTGTAGTGTTACTCGCTCCGCCTGGTGTTCGAATGGTGGATTCAGATTTGGCGGTCGTGCTCAGCTCCATTGTTAACAACGTCTAGGATCTGCGTGGGTTGGGCCCACCTCACTTGTTGAAGTGTCGAAATCGATTTCTGATCCGATCTCATTCGATTTGTACCAACAACAAGGGGAACATGTCATACTTCGTTCATAAATCATCCAATGCGTGGGGGAATATGAAAGTAGGGTAGGATGTGCCCATTCTTTCAAAGGACCGCGCAACAAGCTGTCGTCCCCTCCTAAGGGGTGGGAATGCAGGGTTATTATTTAAGGTAAGTGCGTCATATGGGGATGTGGTAACGCTAGGTAACTGTGATCCTATTTTGAACGTATATATGTCGTGTTAAACCTATCACTACAGGCGAGATGTGGGTTTTTCATAGATATTGGTTATAACTTCTACTATTATGTAGCAGCCTGACCTAGATTAGTACGATTGTTTCGAAGGTTTATTTATCGCTCTTTCGAGTGGGTGGTGATATTTCGCCGGTTCTAGATCTGAAGAAAACTAAAAAATTTGGCTAAGAAATCCCCACAGATGGCACCAAATTGTTTGACCAAAAAATATAAAACCCTTTTGCCGAACTAATTATTAATAATACAAAAGGTAAATCTTAGCCAAACATAATTAATTCCAGATCCAAACACACAGAGTGCGAAATAGAAGAAGAATAAGAACGCATAATATTTCTTAACATAATAATCGTACATGAAACATGAGAGATGAGCTTACATCTAGGACAAATATGCATCATAATCACGGGAGCAAAGAAGGAGAAGAGAGAAAATTGTTGATGATGAAGAGATTCCTCTTATTGACTCTTATCGTCGTAGCTATCTATAAATCCCCATGCTTTATCTGGGTCTTGCCCCCATATATATAGTTCATTTCCCTTTTTATCCAATGGTCTTTGATCGGCGTACTTTCTTACGACTGTATCTTTCGTCGTTTGCTCGAACACAATGCTTGTTCTGTGATGTAAGCTTTCCGATGATTTGATCCCGGCGATGGCCGATGTGCTCTTTGGTATCTCGCCCCGTGGGCATGATTATGGCTTGATCAACCCTTTATCATTCCTCTTAAGGACAACCATTCTAATCAAATTTTCACCCATACACGTGCAAGGCTCTGAGAATGTTGTTATAAAAAGATTACAGAATTGCTTAACATGGATAAGTTGAGAAATGGAATATATATATATATATATATATATATATATATATTAAAAATATTACTAGTATATATATACATTTTAAAATAATTACAAAGCTGAAATTAATTACATGAGCAGGTCAAAAGGGATATTAATATTAATACGGATAATCTTTTGACATTGTCATTGGGAGTCAAGATGTGGTCCACGTTTGAGCAATATGGTCAAAAAGCGATTCAGGACAATTTTCAAAATTGCACTTTTACCCCAAACTAGACCGGAATTGTTTATTAAACTCATCTAAATTTAAAAGAGTCCATTTTCGTACATGAAAACTTGAAAAGTCATTATCTTGTCAAAAATAAGAAAACTTCTAAAAAAGAAATCCTTCCTTTGGTGGCTAAATGTTTTCCTTGAAAACTTTTTGATGTGGTCCTGAGATTGTTAAAAAAGGATTAGAAAGAAAAGAAAGGATATATCTACGCACCAAATTGAAGCTTTGTACACTAAATTCTTCTCCATTCACTATAAAAAAAATTGAAATTAGCTAGGGACTTCGTCGCTAAATATCACTAAATTGCTCGTAACTAACAGATTTTTTTGATAATTTATCACTAATTCGTTGTTAAATTAGATTAATGACGAATTTTTCTGTTTAGCTACGAAACTAATTCAACACTAGTTTGAGTTGCCTACTTGGCATGCAATCCAATTATATTACGAAAAAGGGCAAAATATACCCTTGTACTATCGGGAAAGGTTTAGATTTACCCCACGTTATACTTTGAGTCTAAATATACTCCTGTCGTTATAATATTGGTTCAAATATACCCCTCTTCTGTTAAGTTTGTCCAAGGTGGATATCCAATCTTACGTGAGACAGGCATTTATTGAGGTGGATGTCACATGACTTGCCACCTCATTTACTTAGTTTCATTAGACTAAGTAAATGTACAAAATAATTGTAATTAGTATCTTCCATTTCTTAGTTTATTAATTTCACTGTATTAAAATTACTGATTGCAATATTAATCTATCTCATATATAAGTATATCGATCAAACTATTTGCTTCTAACATGCATTTTGTCAGGGTTTTACAATAAATATATAAAAAATATATACATTCATATATTACAATAAGTAGGATTTGTAGGGTTTGTTTGGGAGGGGTTGAAGAGGAAGGAGATTAGGACAAGATATCACAGAAACTTCCAGTTGAATTTCAACTCTTTCTATTTTTTCAAATATGTCCACGATTGTAGTTAATTAATCGAACTTTTACATTAGAGACTCATAGCCAATGGCTAGAAATCAACCAACCCAAGAAATAAAATAAAAAAACAAAGATTAACAAAACCAAAAAAAAAAAAAAAAAAAAAAAAAGAGGTATAAATACCATAGAGGTCAACCACTATCGGATATTGATCAGCGGGTTGACCCGGTAAGAGATCCGAAAGAACTTTCCAACAAGCAGAATAGAAGTCGACCACAAGACCATTTCTGTAGGAGGCTGCTACCCATAAGGCCATCTCGGGCATGGTAAAAAAGGCGGGTAGGTTAAAATATGGATGGGAAACCTTAAAACAAAAAAAAGAAAAAAAAAACACGTCCAACTCTATAGGTCATCTGCATGGGAGTTTAATTAGCTATATTACCTTAGGGCAATACATTTTTTTTTTTTTTTTTTTTTTTTTTTTTTTTTTTTGCTTTCTTTATGTAGCTCATAATAATTTTCATGCTCATGCCTTCTCTTCCATTCCAAAATTACAGAAAAGGAAAAGACTCAGAAAAATAATCAGCTAAGTCAAGATCAAATTGAAGTGATGATTCAGATCGACGATTTACTGCTCCCTTTTTAATAGCAGATGCCCATGCTTTAATTCGAACGTGTTCATCTTCAATCATGCTCCTTTTCAACCCAATCTGGTCTTCCTAATGTGAACTCCAAGCTTGGATTTTTCTGATTATCCAAAATGATATATTTAGTTCATTTAATCATAGTGTTTTCAATATAGTAATTAGGAATAGACAAATATGATAGAAATTAAATAACCATCTATCGATAACAGACTTTAATTTAGGCTTTCCTGAAGATATATACTAATTGTATCATAGATTAAGAAGGCTGACATGACAAAGAAAACTTAATTTTTGTATACTGACAATGTAAAGAAAATTTCAATTAATCTGAAGTTGAAACAAAAAAAAGAGGAGAAATTAGTTATATTGTGATAAACTTGAAACTTAAAGGATGTAAGGAATTTATAAAAATTAATTTGCCACATTTGATTCCTACGGCAATCTCGAGTTAATATACAAAAACATATAATTGAAGTATACAATAATAATCTCGAGTTGCTTTAAAGTGTTTTGGGGGTGGGGTGGGGGCCGGGGACTATAGCATAGCTAACACTATCGGTTCACGTGAACCAATAGCTTTGGGGGCGAAACTATAGTGTTAGCTACAGGGGTGTACATGGACTGGGTTGGTTCGGTTTTTACCAAAACCAAATCAAACCAACTATATCGGTTTGGATTGGTTCGGTTTTGTCGGGTTTTTCGAGTTTTCGTTTTTTTTTTGTGACATGAATATTATTTCAATCTTACTTTGTTAAAATTATAGATAAAGCTTTGATAAGTGAATATATGTTTAGTAAATATGGAAAAAATTGACAAACATATGATCTATTAAAATATTCTAATGGGAGAATTTTTTTAGTAACACATAATAGTTATTTTTTTAGTCATCTAACAATAATTTTTCGTTAATTTATTGCTTTCAAGGTTAATACATGAGAGGATCCAAATATTTCTACATTTTCTAAAGAAAATTCACTATAAAGTCTTAAAAATATAAAAAAAGTTATATATTTATATGTCGGTTTGGTTCGAATTTTTTTACTCAATACCAAACCAAGTCAAACTAAACCTAGACGGGGTTTTTAATCGGTTTGGTTTGATTTTTCGGGTTTGAACACCCCTAGCTATGGGTAACACTATCGGTTCACGTGAACCAAATAACTTTTCTCAAATCCTATAAATATATTAACAAAGTTACTAATATCTATATCTATATGACCGTGAATCCAGTTACATATTATTGTACACAAACTCGAGATCGTTGTAGAAATTCATAAACTTCAAATTTTGGATCCGTTTATTAGTGTTTTAATTTTTGTACATATAACATTATGAAATTAGAATAAGAGTATGAGAATTGTACCTCTATTTGGTGACCTGATTTTTGTTGAGATGGAAAGCAAGGTGATCTAAGACCATTTGCATCATTTGAGTTAGCTTGCAACCATCCTTCTCTACTGCTGTAAAATTTCAAGTAAAAATTATGTTTTTTTTCAGTCTATCTTGTGCTAAAATTAAGTCATCACAATTTGACTATCCATATAATTAAAATGAAAAAAAATAAATGTATACTTTAATTCAGCTAAATTTCACTATTGCTGCTCGTAAAAAAAAAATATTGACATCGAGCGTAACTCAACCCAAAAGCGCAAAACCATATAACGAGAATATCTTATTTACTTGATCAATATGAGAAAATCTAACATCTCCCTTCTCCTGCACCCCAATGCTTTGACAACTGGAGCGTAAATAATATAATATCGAACCCAACTCGCAAAACATAATAACAAGGATATATAGGGCTTCAGTGCCATGTTAATAATATATCACTTTTAACTCATGCCAGAAATTATTTATAGCTAGTCATCGAAAAACTGTATACAATTTGTATAACTTTTGTATATAATTAACAAACAGAATGTATATGTGTGTGTGTATATATATAGAGAGGCAGATGTAGTTAACAACGGACGGGTTCAACTGAACCCATAACTTTCGATGCGGTGTAAAAATTTATATGTAAAAATTCACTAAAATTGCAAAAATAGTGGATATGAACCCATAACTTTAAAAGTATAATGGGTTCATTGCTAAAAACCTTAAGAGTTGAACCCATATGATTTTAATCCTGGATCCGCCTAATAAAAATATACAAATTTTACACATTTTTCGGTTATTTTTTTACGACGGCTATACAGTATATTTTTTCTTAATATAATAATATATCTTGGGCCGATCTCTACTGCAAAAGCTAGTGTATGAGGTGAAAATGATCCAAAATCATATAAAGACAACAACGAATCATTTCTTCAAGCAAATATAAGACACTAATTGAAGTAATCTCTATTTAATAATTAGCAAATCATAAAATTAGCTCAATTGACCCTTGATAATGAAACTAATTTAAACTAAGGAAGTAGTACTTTTGTGACTAATTCCTATTAAGGAGCTATAGCAAAACATAATTATTAAGATACTTTATTAGCCTGTAAATATTTAAATTTATGTTTCCTTTAATCCTACAATGTGACAACATTTGAATTACAGTACTTGTCATTTAATTCAACTGTTTTTTTTTTTTTTTATAAAATAATTGTGGAACGGTCAAAGTAAAACTTCTCAAAGTACAATATGACAAATAAAAGTCCCTTCTTACAACTACTAGAGTAAAAAAAGTACAACAAAAATCATCTGCTGAGACATGCAGATTCGTATATTTATTTTGTGAGGATTTTATTATATATCTTGGAGTTGATTAAATATTTAGAAAATAGGAACTAAGAATTTCATTAAGGAAAAGACAAATTATAGAAGCAGGCATAGTAACTGGATCATAACAAGATCTGATAGTTTTTTTCTACTTTAAATAGACGAAAAAATAAATAATTAAAAAAGACAAACATGTACACGACCAAAGAAGACATGGATACATTAAATAAATATTACTTTGAGAAAAGCAGAGCACTTAAGTCAAGATACTGGTCTTTTTTTGGACTTATTTGCCAAAATCTCCTCGTGAAGAGAATAACAACAAAGCAAAAAAAAAAGTTTATTATATCTTTAATAAAACAAATTAAGAAAACAACCAAAGTAAAAGAATAAAGAAAAGAAAAGAAAAGCAAAAGTTTAGCAGTAATGCAAAAGTATAGTAGTAATCTTTTTGCTTTCTTATCATAATAATAATCCTAATTAATTACCATATGAGTACTGTTCTCTCCTCTCTTTATTCACCAAAGTTAATTAATTACCATATGCGCCGACTAACTCGAATTCATGTCTCATAAAGCCCATCAAAAAAGGAAGTATTCTCTATCAAAATTTTTTCCATCTTAGGATTGGAAATTGAGATTTCTGATATGGTGGAAAAATTCTATTCGTCCCACCAGAATTCTTAGTAATATTATTCGCTCTTTAATGCCTTTTTTAATGCATGAAAAATAATTAAGAATAGAGGGTAGAAAATAGTACGACAAGAAGTAATTAAAATGGGAATAAAGGAGTTGAAAGTAGAAAGTGGAAAAATGAAAGAGAAGAAAAGCAAAAGCTGCCACAAGAACTCTTTTATTCTTTAGAAAATGTTGGACGTGTGTTTTGCATTTCAAAGATTCATGTTAACTCCATGCAGAAGAAAAAGTATGCAACTCATTACTTCAAAAGTCCTACACTACACTACTTGTGAACCATGGTTTTTATAATTCAAGCTTATGCGTTCGTGATTCTAATCGTTTTAAGTTAATGGGTTCTAAATTAATAATTTATACATATTCAATAGATTTTTTAAGACAAATACAGGGTTCAAACCAAAGCTACTGGGTTCGGTCGTACCCACTCCCGATACTCTAGCTCCGCCCCTGTGTGATATAGACAGTCTACCCTAATACAAGCATGAGTAGCTGCTTCAGCGTCTCAAACCCATAGCCTATAGGTCGCACGAAAATAAATTTACCGTTGACCTATAGGTCACACAACAACTACGTTGTAAAAACAAATCTGCATTATATACAGAAATTATATCGAGGATATTAAAAAATATACATATAAAAATTTTCACTCTATGCCCTGAAGCAACTTTTTAACCACCTTTACCATTAGATTAAACGATTCCCCATAAGGGATTCAATAATTTAAATATATAGAATATCTACCACATTAGTATGGTAGTACATGAACAAAATTATTTTACCATATTAGTATAGAATCTCTTTCCAATTAAGGGGTTTCAATTGAACTCACGCCATTAATTACATATAGCTCCACAGCTGGTTGTAGGTAATTTATTTTATTTTTCAGGTTACTAATCTAAATTTTTCTATGAACTATTACCTATAATTATTTTTAAGTATTCTAATAATTTAAAAGTGTTTTTGAAGTGTCAGTATATAAAAGTTAAACGCGTCAAACATTAAGTCCCATTTAAATAAAATATATAGGACTTTCACTAAAGTTTTAAGTAGTGTATACATGAGGTCTATACCTTGAGGAGTTACTCCAAAGAGTAGGATTTGCAGTAGATGGGTAATCGGATTCGGGTTGTACAGATCCATCGGATGCTCCTCTCTGATCCGTAAACCGGCATAAACCAGTCCGGTCACCGGTGCCGGTGCTACCTATTGTTGTGAGATCATCTTCTCCTGACCCATCTGATTGCCCTAATAAGATAATAACAAATTAAAAAATCAAAAACAAAAACTTATATATATAGTTTAATTTTTATGTACTCACAGTTTGTAAAAGAATTTTAATACTATCAACAGCAATAATAAATCCAGTGTAATTTCATATGTGGAGTTTGAGAAGGGTAATGCATATGCAGGCCTTACCCCTATCTTGTGAAGGTAGACATGCTATTTCCGATAGACTCTCGACTCAAGAACAGTGCAAATAAAGTAACAAACAGTAGCAATAATAATAATAATAGAGAACCAGGAATAAGAAAAATACAAAAATAGTACTGGTACTACTAATAAGACTAGGAGATTAATGACTACTCACTCCGTTCCAGTTTATGTGAACATATTCCTTTTTGGTCTGTTCCAAAAAAATGACCCCTTTCTAAATTTGAAAGCAATTTAGCTTAAACTTTCAATTCTACCCTTAATGAGAAGCTTTTATAACCACACAAATACTCTGGGCCCCATTTTAACTTGTTTAGGACTACAAATTCTAAAAGTCTTCATTTTTTCTTAAACTCCGTGTCCAGTCAAACAGGTTCACATAAATTGGAACAGAGAGAGATTTGTTAACCTTCTACCCTAATTCTCCACTTCCGCCTTTTCCTATTGAGGGTGATATCCTCGGTAAGCTGGAGCAATTTTAATACTATTATATTATCTGAAAGATATCTATAACTAATCGTTTTTAAAATGTGTGACTAATAACAATAAAAAAATAATGTAAGTTACCTGTTGTAATAGGTTAAAATATACGTGTAAAAATAATCTACATTAATCAAAGATGTTGTTTCCTGTGTCTCAATTCTTTTTTAAAAAAAGAACATATTGTAGTTGTACTACCATGGATCGAGCTCATATGCTATAAATAGGGATTTAAATTAGATCTCTATTTCGGAACAACCAAAAAAATATGTATAACTATGGAGATCTATGTGTAATATTGATGGATTATCGGACCCCGTAAACTTTGGCAGAAATTATATATATTTATATCTTTATACCTTAAAAATTATTAATTTAAATCACTTAGCATCCGAAACACTAAAAGTCTTTAGGGGCAGACATTGGTTGAGCAGAAAACTATGTTCCATCGCATTAAATCGTGGATCCGCTTTTGTGTAACATTAGTCAAGCCTTTACGCCTATCGTCGTTTAAAACATTGTTAAATGCAAGTGATGCATGTACACCAAATAGAAGAAAATCACCACATAATTAATGTCATTTTATGGTGCAAAATGAGTTTAATAACACTGAATATTAGGAAGAAAATATAAAAAGGAAGAAAGTAAATAAGCACAAGACTTAAAGCAAGACAACTTACCAGAGGAAGCTGCAGGTTTGTCAGTAGTTTTAACAGTGCGATACATCTGCATTGGGAAAGAATTTTTTTTTCAAATGTTAAGACAACAACCATATTTCAAGAAATTCAACAAATAAGTACAACTCCCTCTCAGTTTACTTTTACGTGTCATATTTCGTTTTTCGAGAGTCAATTTGACTAATTTTTGAAGTTAAATTGCATTAGATTTTTTTAATATTTTATGCTTAAAATTTAGATATTCGGAAACTACAGTCACACATCTCTATAACAACATCCCTATATAATAACACTTCACTATAAAAGTGAAGCTTTTCCGGAACCAATTTTTATATTATGTTATAATATATGTTCTATATAACAGCACTTCGCTATAACATCCAAAAAAATATTCAAAACAAATGAGACTGTTATAGAAAGATTTAATTGTATATGAAAAGTACTATAATTTGTAATTTTTTTTATATTAATATGGTGAAAAAATACATGTTAAAATGTTGATAAAAATTTATTGACTTTACATGACAAGTAAAAGTGAACGAAGAGAGACGGTACTGCACATTACACTTACCTCTCGTGAAATGACGTTGAAAACAAAGAAAAAAACAAAACAAACACTAAAAATAGAGTGGTAAGAGTTTCTAGGGAGGGAAATTTTTTCNATAAAGAAAATATTTGTACCATAGTAGTCAGTGGCGGACTCACGTAGAGCTAAACGGGTTCAGCTGAATCCGCTTAGCCAAATAATAATATTGTATATATGTATAAATTACGATTAAAGCAATGTAAATTTTGTATAAAAATTTTATTTGAACCCACTTGACATCTACTATTTTACGATTAAAGTTATGTACTTCTACGATTGAACCTATTTGCATAAAATACTGGGTCCGCCACTGATAGTAGTATAGAATATCTTTTCAACTAATGGGATTCAATTCAAACCAACGCTATGACATATCGATCCACTATTTGTTGCAGGTAATTTATCTTATTTTTCGGGTTACTTATCTAATTTTTCTATGAACTATTACTTATAATTATTTTTTAAGTATTTTAATAGTTCAAAAGTTTCCTTGAAATGTGAGTAGACGTTCACTAAAATTTTAAGTAGTATATATATATGTGGTACCTTGAGGAATTACTCCAAAGAGTAGGATTGGCAGTAGACGGGTAATCGGATTCGGGTTGTAAAGATCCATCAGATGCTCCTCTCTGATCCGTAAACCGGCATAAACTAGTCCGGTCACCGGCGCCGGTGCTTCCTATTGTTGTGAGATCATCTTCTCCTGACCCATCTGATTGCCCTAAAAGATAATAACAAATTAAAAATATCAAAAATAAAAAACTTATATATATATAGAATTTAACTTTTATGCACTCGCAGTTTTAAAAAGAATTTAAATACTATCGTATCATCTAAAAGATAACTATAAGTAATTGTTTTAAAATATATGATTAGTCACAAGAAAATTAATGTAGATTACCTGCTATAATAGGTTAAAATATACGTGTAAAAATTATCTACATTAATCAAAGATGTTATTGTCTTGTGTATCATTTCTTTTCTAAAAAAAGAACATATTGTATAGTTGAACTCCCATGGATCGAGCTCATAAATATGCTATACATAGTCGTTTATATTACATCTCTATTTCGGTACAACGAAAAAAATATACGAGTCAAGATTTTACTTAGTGATCTGAAGAAGCAATTTGAATTACTACAGACTGGTTTCCTCTCATATACCCTCGTTGATGCGTATTTCCTACCATTGAAGAAAATAGAGAAAACTGCTAATCCCACCCATGTTGTAAACGGATGCCCTACCTGATCCATTTCAGATCCAGCTGGAGGTCTTCGAACCATGGTCAGTATAAGGAGATCATTAGAGGCGGATCTATGTTTAATATTGAGGGGTCATCGTACTTATTTATGGGCTAACAGGTCACACTATGGCCAAGTATCCTACACAGAGACTCCTAAGAGCCAGAAGTATAAAAGGAATGGGCGCATCATGACATCGTAAGATGTCTCGTCCGAATGAATTAGCTGGTACTAGATATATTAAAAAAAGTGAACGAAAGGAGTAATAAGAAGTGAAAATGACAGAGACACTTCATGTATATATATATATATATATATATATATATCGCTATATTATACCTAAAAAATTGTTAATTTAAATCACTTAGCACCAGAAACACTAAAAGTCTTTAAGGGCATGCATTGGTTGAGCAAAAAACTGTGCCGCATTGCTTTAAATCCTGGATCCGTCTTTGTGTAAAATTAGTCAAACCTTTACGCCTATCGTCGTATAAAACATTGTTAAATGCAAGTATATATTGCATGTAAACGAAATAGAAGAAAATCACCACATTGTAAATGTCATCTTATGGTGCAAAATGAGTTTAATAACACTGATTATTAGGAAGAAAATATAAATAGGAAGAAAAGTAAGTAAGCAGAAGACTTAAAGCAAGACAATTTACCAGAGGAAGCTGCAGGTTTGTCAGTAGTTTTAACAGTGCGATACATCTGCATTGGGAAAGGAATTTTTTTTTTCCAAATATTAGAAAAAAAATCATATTTCAAGAAATTCAAAAAAATAAGTACAAGTACTACACATTACACTTATCTCTCGTGAAATGACGTTGAAACAAAGAAAAAAAACAAAAAAAAGAAAAAACACACAAAAAATAAAGTGGTAGAGTTTCTAGGGAGGGAAAAATTTTCCAGAGTCAAATGCTTCTTTCTTGGAATTGATTCATTAATCACGAGGTGAATTATTGAATAATGATGACTTACTTTTGTCTGTAACAGAACCCTAGTACCCCTCCCCCACCCCCACCCTATTATTCTTACTATAGTAGGACTAGTATATTTACCTAAGTATATTTCTCTCACTTTGTTTTTTTTCTTTCTCTCTGATACTATCAGAAAGATCAGACTTGTTTCTTTAATTCATTCACTCAGTCATTCACTGTATTTTTATCGGCTAATGTGCCGGAGGAATTCATCCTGAGCTAGGGAGGGACCTTTGACAGAGAGAAAAATAGAAGAAAAAAGAATATTTTTTTAAAAAAATAGATTCTTTTTTTCTATTTAATATTCTACTAATTTTTTTTTCTACGTACCTGTAAATGGCTTTTGACATGAGCAAGAGTAAGATCTTTCACATCCATTAGCTCCAATACTGACTTTGGTGTTGCCCCTAAAAATCAAGAACACAAAAATAAAAATCCAAAATTAGACCTTTTTCATCATTTCCCACCTCAAAAATATTGAAATTATAAAATACAGAGTATAAATGCAACGGGTTCAATTAAACTCAATATTTTAGAACGAAATAACAACAACTATAACCACCCAGTAAAATCTCATACGTGGGGTTCGGGGAGGGTAGAATATACACAGACCTTATCCTTACTACGGAGGGATAGAGAGGTTATTTACGAGAGACTCTCGTCTCAAGAAGACAAAAATAGACAATCCGTGACAATCACAAAAATCAATATTTTGAACTGATATACAATGTGTTCAAGCTAAAAATATGAAAGGTATGAAACCAACAAGATTAAAATTCTGGATCCCTCTCTGATAATATAAAATAAGTACAGGAAATCGTACTTTCATGGCCGCCAAGAAGCTCCACAGCATGAACAAACCGGGCATGAAGAGTACTAGTCCATCTCATTCTTGGTGCTCTCATACTTCTTTTAGCTGGAAGTTTTGGTAGAAATCTTGATCTCATCAAACTATGATGAGAAGTTGCAGTTTCATGAGAAGAATGCCCTAATCCTACACCATATTGACTATGATGTAAGTGATGATGTGGCACTTGATAAGAAGATGATATTCCATTAAACCTATTATTAATATAAGGAGATGAAGATGGAGGAGAAAAAAGTGGTGAAGATGATGAAGCCATTGGGTAAAAACACATCTTTGGATCTTTTTCCTTGTCTAAATTAGCCAAGAAAGGAAATGAACGGTTGTGATTGTATACTGGAATACCCTTTATAGGTCTTAAACCGTCTGATACATCTAAAGAAGAAACCCCATGATTTATTTGATTCATTGGTTGCACCATATGGTTATAATTTTGACTATAGTGGTTGTTGTAATAAGGGTTTCTTGGTAGGTCTAAGAAACCCCTTCTTGATTCATCGTAGATGGTGGCGCTGGTGGTGTTGGTGGTGGTGGTGGTAGTGGTGGTTGGATGAGCTAACGAGAGTTCTGTAAGGCAATTTCCCGACTTACTGAACTCTAATCTCCTATGATTTTCACTCACTTCAGTAGTACAACGACTCGAGAGATCGAAACTAGAAGTTGCTAGTAATTCATTGATGTTGTTACAAGATGGAGAAGAAGAACTATTTGGTGGGCTAATGTTGAGAGAAAGATCAGGAATTTGCTTTGAATTAGTTGATTGGGGTTCAATGAAAACCCCTTCTAAGGGCATTTTTATGGATTATAACTACTACTAAAGAAAATTTAACAAAAAAAACAAGATTTCAAGAATGTTTTCTTTAATTTTCTAATAGTAGCTTTTTTGCTTTGGGGGAGACTTTAACTTTTCCTTTTTTTGTTAGCTCCAAAAAACCCAAAATTTATGATAATATACCCTGGAGAATAGAGTAAAAGTTGCACAAAAACACAAACAAGAAACACACAAAGAGATGTAAGAAAAAGGGAAAAAGGAAAAGATGGACAAACTTCAAGTTTGATTTTGCTAATAGATTTAGAAAGAAAAAGTGAGAAAAGAGAGTTTATTCTTTATGTAAAGCTAATAGAAGAACTCAAAAGAAACTCTTTTATCTTCTTTTAATAGTAAACATATATGCAGAAGAAGAAAACAAGAAGAAGAAGAAGAAATGAAGAAATTAAAGAAAAATGAAAAGAGAGGAATTTTAGTAGAAGGAAAGGAATGAAAAGGAAGAGAAGAAGGGGGATTTTGGATTAGAGTATATCTTGGAAAATGACACTAGAACAAGGAGAGGCTATTTTCTTCTCTCTCTCTAGTCAAAACAAAGAAAAATAGCAAAAGAAAAAACAAAAATACATAAATTTCAGAAATACAAACAAAAGAAAGAAGACACTAATTTAATTTTTTTTTAAAATATAGCATGTATATAAAGAAAAAAAATATAAACTGATATTATAATGGTCTTATTATCTAATAAAAATATTAGCATAGGTTACTAATTGTTTTCTTCATCAGATTATGAATGAAGTTTACCATAATCAATTACATGTAATTAACTTGTACAATTTTTTTACCATCACATAAAATTGACATAACAACAATAGATAATATTTCATGTTAAAAACTTGAAAAATAGAGGGATAACTTGTTATAAGCAGTTAGTATAAAATTTGTCTCTGTGTGATCTATAGGTCAAAGATTCGAGCAGTGGAATCGGCGTAGGCTGCCTACATCACTCCTCTCAGGGTGAGGTCCATCCCCGGACCCTAAATGAATGCGGGATACTTCGTGTACTGGGCTGCCTTTTTTTAAATGCAGTGTAAAATTTCTTTTACCTACAAAATTTAAATCTAGAAAGAAATATGATACCGTAAACGTTTACATATAGTTGATTTTTGAGGAAATTGATAATGTAAAATTTATTTAATTAATATAAAAGTTAATTTTTTTTTGAACCCAAAAAAGATAAATAGTCACTGTTTGATCAAATTTTCGTTCCCGCAGATAACTCTACTGTGATACTTTTTCCCCCACTCTCTCCGCTTCTACTTCTTGTCTTTTCCGTTTTCATTCTCTCTCTCAGATTTCTCTGTTTCTTTATAGTATCTTTTTTTCTTTTTTTCTGTATATATATCACTTTATCTTACTCTAATTATTTTTTCTGATTAATAAATTAATTATAAATACCAATTTATACCAACACGGACAGACAAACGTATTTAAGATAATGTCATCTACAGCTTCTACTCAGATTTTTGTAGTATTCTTTAACATACCCCAACCCCAACACTGGATTCTTGAAACTAGGTGGGGGTGGGGGTGGTGGGGTTGTGATCACATATACTTATTTATGCACTTATAATGTATAAGCCTTACTTACTGATAATATAAAAAATATTTGTACAATCAAGTCGCTTATAATTACAGAAAATCTCTATAATAAGCATCAACAAATAACTTGGTAAAGATGATAACTATCCTACGAGATTAAACAGCAACAACAATAACATACTCAGTATAGCTTTACAAGTAGGGTTTGAGGAGGGTAGAGTGTACGCACATCTTATTCCAACCTTAAGAAGGTATCAGAAAGACTGTTTTCGACAGATAATCGGCTCAAAATTACTTTAAAAGTATAAAGTATTTTTATATTATCAATATATATAAGTTAAATACTTATAATATATGTACACGAATACATATGTATGAACATAAAAGTACAAGAAAGGCATTGACTTGAGAGAGAGAGAGCCACACAAAAGGGGTATTTGTTTGTTAATAGGCATAAATGGCTAAANCCCGTGTCGCGATAAGAAGTTACTCAAACTCGATATTTATATCAAATTAATAAATATAAAATATTTCTGTTCGAACACTCATTTATAGTTTAACAGGTTAGTAAATATGTACTCTCTCCGTTCACTTTTACTTGTCCACTATACCAAAAATATATTTTTACATTTACTTTTCACTATGCTAAATCAAGAAAAAAAATTAAAAAAAATTCATGTTTTACCATTATCATTAATTGCTCATTTTCTAAATTATTTCTCAAGACTTTTTGAAATGTTAACGTTATTATGATTTATATGGTATAATACAAGCTACAGTTATTATTTCTTAAAGGACGTAAAAAGTCCAAATTGGATAAGTAAAAGTGAACGGAGGGAGTATTTTTTGTTTAATTTTATGTAAATATCTGATGCAGATAAGTATTAATTTATTCTGGCAAAATACCTTATCACTCCCCTAAACTTATCACGAATTATTAGTTACAACCTTAAACTATTTTTGGTCTTAATTAACCTCCCCCCCCCCC